CCATCTTTCTCTCCCAGGAACACCACTGCCTCCTTGTTTTTTTTCGTTTTGTGTCCTGAGAACTTAGCTTGGCTGAACTATTATTTAACATATGCTATTCCTATAATGTTTCCTTCTTCCTATCTCCAGTAATAGGCAGGATTCTTGTAGAGTGGAGAGGAGGAACGCACAGTAGTCATAATCACCTCTAGTCTCTCTCTTTCTCTCTTTTTAAAGTTTAAATCCAAGGAAGAACAAAATAAGGAAGAAGAGAGAAGTCTCTAGAGGCCAGCAGAGTGAGAGTCCCTGGGATCAGGAAACTGAGAGTACTTTGTAGTCACTTGAGTAATAATGAGAAATTAGAAGAACAGGATCTTTTTAGACACAAACACTACATAGTGAGTTTAAGGAAGTAGAGCCCCAAACCAGGGTTCCCCACCTCAGCTTGTATTACTGGTGTATCACATGTGTAACAAGGAGGGCGGCAAAGGGCGGACAGACTGTAAGGAATCACCGATTGGACAACACAGAGGTCAGGTGCTCAGGCTCAGCTGGAGATAAGAGGAGCTTTACTTTGAGGGGTAGGGGGATGTGCTAATAATGACAGAAATGGAAATTCCCAACATCCTGCGAAGTCACAGGGCCCCAATTAATTAGTTGAAATAAAGTAATATTTCTTGCTTACCCAAGTCCGTGGACTAAGATTCAAACCCACTCAACTCAGTTTGACATTGAGTATTTGGAGACAGGTGAGCAGCTGTGGGGGAAACGGCGCCCAAATCAGGAGGCTGGGAAAACACTGGTGGAATTCCTTTGAAACAAGGCTCTGTGGGTAAGCGTGCGTCCATGGCCTGGGGAATGCTCTGGCAACGGGAAGTCGTTCTTCCCCATCCCCCTACCCCAGCCACTGCGGGTGGCCACCAAGTGTAGTGTTTTGCTGTTTTAGGTTCACAGCTGTGTATCTGAGCAAATATCCCCAGATGAAGAAACTCGGATGGGCTCAACATACCCAGATTGACCTAAATCAGTTTGGGGGAATAAGTGGGAAAGAAGGCAGTTGGTTTTTTGGTCCCGTCGTCTCACCTTGGGATATAGACTTCTGAGGAATGGACCTTGGGTTTAGATCAAGAATTCCCTAAAGTTGTCACCTGGGCATCTTATGGTCATAGCAGCAAAACACAAGAACATATTGGTTAAAGTTAAGGTACAGCCTTCAGGGGCTAGGCACATCATTCTATCCAGTTATTCTATTTACATTTGGGAGGTTCTGAGGATTAAGTTTTTGCCTAAATGTTTACTCATCACAAAAAATGGATTTTTATTTTTGTCATGCAGACAAAAAAAAAAAATTTGTGAGGGAGAAGCAAGCAGAGTTTTTGGTTAGCAATAAGATAAAAAAACAAACAAAAAAACCCTCTAAACTTTATTTACCTGGGATCTTAGCAAGCTCAAAACCACCACCAGAACATCTTTATGATATCAACAAATTCTCTAAGACCCCCAAATGTCTTATCAGATCGAATTATATCCAGTATCAGTCTGGTGGCTATATTCAGCGAATATTACTTACTGTCCACATGCTGGTTTTAGGAGTAAGCAGACTTTGCTCTCATGGAGCTATGTTCTCGTGGGAGAGACAGACAATGGACAAATACACAGATACATATGTCAGTTTGTAATAAGCATTATAAAGGAAATTAGAGCAGAGTAAGGGATAAAGAGTGATGGGGGAGGGTTGCTTTCCTTCCGTTTCTCCAGAGCTCTCAAGTTCTTTGGTACCTCAGGACTTCTGCAAGTGGCTTTTCTCATCTGGACCCCCTTCCTCTTCCTACCAATTCTCCCTTTTTGTCTGGTTACCTCTCACTCCCCTTCAGCGCTCAGCCCCAAATCGCTTTAAGGAAGCCTTCTTTGGCCCTCGAGAAGAGATCAAGTTCAGGTTCCTGCTTAATCACAGCATTGGAGTTTCTTTGTTTGTACTGAGCACCTAATGATGACATGTGTTTGGAAGTGTCTAATGCCTGTGTGCCTTCCAGAGTCTGACCTCCAGAAAGCAGTGACTGTCTTGTTCTCTGCTGAATCCTTAGAACCTCGTCATTGGCTGAGTATGTACCTGCAAATAACTGTTCAATGTCTGAGTCACTATGGATACCAGAATCCTTCATTAGGCGGAGATGTCCCCTTCCTGACACTGTTTAGAAAACACTACTTATTCTTAGCGGTCATCTAAACAGTTTGGGCAATTTCTTCTATAGCAAGGTGAATCAACACAACTTGGTTTCATCTATAGCATATCAGTACTAACTTAGGCCACTATCCTCCTTTTATTTCACTTCATCCTCTTCATGACTCTGGAAAACCTGGGCTGACTCACCTACAATTTCAAACGAATAATCTTTTATTTGTAAAAGATGGAGTCATAAATAGGCAGAATCAACCCATGCTTTTATTTTCGTTGCATATAAAAATTTCATATGAAGGTATTGATGTACAGTACTATCCTCATGGGCTGTAAGAGAGACTAAGAAACCACTATAAGAATCATCATCATTTGTAATGCTCACACACAATTAACCACTCTGAAAACATATCCTAAGAAATAAAATTAAAAACAACCAAAATCAGTAAGGATGTTTTTCATAATTATAGTGTCCCCTTTGTACTGTTTAAAACAAAAGTAATCAAATTCCTTTGGGCCAGGGCTGCTAAAATCTACAGTTTGTGTCAAGAAAATAAAATAAAATAACAGGAGGCTCATTTTTCCTAGAAAAAGGATCTCTCGCTAAATCAGGTGCTCCGAGGGCTGGGCAAGAGTGGGAGGCAGTTTCCAAACCACCCGGTGGGAATTTTTTGTAACTTTTGGGAGCTGGCCATTATGCTAAGGCTAATTTTTAAAATGCAAAAGCCATAGTAGTTTTGCAGAAACAAATTCTAGAGAATGGTGAATCATTTTTGTGTGAATTGGCATCATATAAAAACTGTGTTTTATCTATGGAGTTACATATATAATGAAAATTTCATTGATCTTAGTTGAAAAATTCCAGGGTTAAAAAATGAACTTTTCCTATTACATATTCTCTTAACATGACAGGAAGCTGATGAATAAATGACTGACCAACACATGTGACCTGAGGCTCTAGTTTCAAATCAAGTTCATCTGCCTATGTGCTTAAGAAGCCAAAAAAGACTTTGTTATTACTGGGCAAGAATGTATTTTCCCATTAGTGTTTGAAAGTGGGGAAAAAAAAAAAAAGCCAACAATCAGATGTAACTACCTGAAGTAGCTCCTGATCAAGAGATGGGGAGAAGAACCATTGTATAAGCAGTGCTGCTTCATGGCAAGAGCTAAAAGCTTAAAAGCTTGTATCTCAGAAGGGTCTCAGAATCTCCCAGCTATTGTCAGAAATCCAATAGGTTCAAAGCTTGGATATAAAAATGCCCAGCCCTAGCCCCCCACCACCCCATTAGCTTACTTTCAAATGCAGCAAAACAGAAGAAAATATTGGTTAAAGTTAAGGCACAGCCCTGGGACCAAAGACCTGCAGCTATGTTTTTTAACTTTATATATCTTTATGTATTTTATAGTTTTCTTGAATCTTCCATAAACAAGCTCTAAAGTGACAAGACTATATTACAGGAGAAAAGAAAATGTACAAGGAGTATGTATACACACCATTCATTCTCTCACCAAGAGTTTCCAAATATATCAACACCATCCCATCATGGGATGATGTTTTAATAAGAACTGATAATTTACAATTAACATTACAGTATGTACATTACAATAAATACATGGTTGTAAACAGACAAACAAGACTGTATTACAGGTAAGGTCATTTGGTGAGAAAAAAAATGCATGGCACAAAAAAATAAATAATGCATTCAAGAATTATCATAAAGCTTTCTATAAAATCCATTTCATTCAAGTTTTTTTTTCCTTGTCTGCAATTTGTTCTATCTACATTATTTTCTTGTGAATTTTAAGTGATGTAAAAGAAAATAAAATTAAAACAGCATTATTGTATTTAGTAACTTGCAAGCTGAAATGTACTGGTTTTATGCAAACTTGGACATTTTTTCCCCATACAGTACCCAGATATTGCATTTTCTTATGGCATTTTATGAAATATAAAGCCACTTGTATAAGGATGTTCTTTTTAAAGCAGGGTATAATTCTGAAGCACACTTTGGCGAGAGAGAAGGAAAGAGAAAGAAGGGAGAGGATAAGCAGATTGTACAGTGCATTAGTCCCTGTCTCTTGGATATTATGTATGCCTTTTGTACAATTTGATTGTCCATCGGTGAGTATCCTCACAACATGTGACCATTATAAACCAACAAACTGGAAAACAAAACAAAACAAAAAACCCTTTGTTTTTCAATCCAGTTACAAAACCTTTCAGGTCTGGATTTGTGATATATTGTGTGATATATTGTGATATATTTGTGATATATTGCTACTTTAATTTTTTTCCTACTATTATTAAAATTTTAGGCACTCTGTGGGGGAAATACCAAGCATTAGTGAGAGGAGGGAATGACAATATTTTGGATAAAGGAATAAGCTCTAGATTGTTTGCCTTTTCTTCTATACCTCCATCGAGGGCAAATTAAATTAAACAAGTTTCCAAATGTTCTTGTGAAACCACCTGGCTAAACACAGGACATTATTTGAAAGATTACTGATTTTTTTTCAGGGAGAGGAGAGTGGAAATCTGATAATTAATTAGTTGATTCCTGTTCTTCTCTAAGAACAGATCTGAGCTACATAATTATTCTACCAAAGTTTCCCCTGTGGATGTCAGGGTATTAAAATAGGGACTATCTTCAGCTTTGGATCATTTTCTTGGCTGATGACTTAGTTATTAGTCCAGTAGACTCCTGGAGAAATTCCAAATATAAATGTTGTCCAGGGTTACAATTTTTCTTGACTATTTATTGTCCATTTAGACAGATAATCTTTTTGGTCTCTATTTCAATTCTTGGATATGAATGTGAAAAATGATTATTTGGGCTCCAAATTCTTCAAAGAGAAAGCAAATACTTTATTAACAGCTGAAATGGGAAGAGTCCAAACTAAATAAGTACCCCAGGATGCCAAATGAAGGTAAATACTGGGAAACAATCTCAAAAATTGTAATACATTTCTTGGTGCTAAATGCAGCCAAGAACCATCTCTGTTACTTACGTAGAATCTTTTTACCCAACCTAATATTTTAGGGTGGTGTTACATTACCAAACCTCTGGTGCCATTGGCATCATCAACTTCTTTCCCTCAGTGCATTTAAAGATCTTCTCTATAAGACATACTTATGGACCAATGATAACTGAGAAAGCAATTTCTACATTACTTGGTGTCCATTAAGGAAGAGTAGTTGCTACACTTAAAACCACTTTTCAAGAATATTCCTCATATAGTTCTTAATCTTATGGTGAAATCATGGAAACAAAAGAGCATTAGTTGTATCGGTGTTTGTTAATAGATTCTGCTAATATTATTAAAAGTCACCTAGCTAGCTGTTAACTCTTCTCTATGAATTAAGAATAAAAGTTAGTCATTATATATGGCCTTGTGGTCAAAAAGAATGGTGACTCTAGCCAGACTACCTGCTTCTCTTCATCAATCAGAATGGTGGTGATATATTTGATAAGACCCCATCTAGTGAACATGGACAGAGTTTCAAACACACACTAAAGAATAAACCAGCACAAGGGGAAAAAGGTTTTCTTACTACAACTGACTGTGAAAACAATAAAAATGAGGATAAAACATGTGGGTTATTACAAAGACATGCACTTGTGAAATGAGGGTCTACTGACACAGCAAAAAGTTACCCGAAGACACTAAGTAGGAAAATATCTAAAAAAGACTGACCATTTTAGCTACAGGGTATTTATATATCTCTTACTTGCTTCAGACAACACCAACTGATGATTGTTTATGAGGCTTAAGACACATTAGACAGAATGCACATCAAAGTATTACAGAACAAATATTCACTTTGTACACTGAAAAAAAAATGTCAGTGAGAGCAACTCTGCTTATTGGAAAAGACTGAAATGAAAGCAAAGTAAATGAAGACCTACAAAAAGGGTTTCCTGCAACATGAAGTTGGGTTTTGTTTTAAAATATGGAAGTCATTGGTATATAAAACAATGAATCACTACAAATTAGTTAATTGCTATGAACTCTAAGGTGCCAAGTAAAATTCATAAATTAGATTTATCCAGTGTAGCACAGATTTGTACTGAAAACTTGCAAGTTACTCCTTAGAAAAAAATAACCAGTGGCAGATGAAGTTTTGAACATAGTTTTTTAAATATAATACCTCAATACATTTAATAATAAAAGTAAGCTCTACAAAAAATCTGTTTTACATTATCATACAAAATGTAGAGGTCAGTGCAGCTCACTGAACTGCACTGTTCAGTCATGTATCAGGAAGACTTGAAATTAGAAAATTATACAATTTCTGTGGCTCATCTTCCTCCTGGTAACAGATTCATGCTATGTCCTATTCCTGACACGTATGTTGCTTCATCCATGGGTTCACTCTGTCTGTGTAATGCCTTCTTTCTGCTGAAAATATTGCAAACAAATAAAAAAGAAACCCCAAAGCCTATCAACTTTTGGGCTGCCCGATGAGCCACACTCCCTTGAAAACATTGTGGAGTTGATTTTCTCCGCTCTGTCAGCTCTTACCAAGCTGAAACCTTGTTAAAATGCTGTTCGTGAAGATGTCCCCCTTGCTCTGATGACATGGAGGTGAAAAAACTGGTTACAATATTCCTGAGCGCCAGACTGAGTAGTCAAGGTCAGTTTTGTTCAACAAACATCCTGGCAGATGACAGTGAGGTGTGACCATGGTTGTGGCATGTGACATGCACTTTGGAAACAATTTTTCTACTTAAATTAAAAAAAAAGAAAAAAAAAAGAAAAAAAAAAAGGAAAGAAAAGGCGTGACATTCTTTGCACTGTTACGTGTCAGGAGAATGATCTTCTATTCCACAGGGTTCGGGCTGGCTGTCTTCTTCCTCCCCCACTGTTTCCTCTTCCACCTGCTCATCAAGGGGAATTTCAGTAGACTCTGAGTCTTGAGTACAGAGAGTCTTGGAGTCACTGCAGCTAGTGTCTTCTTCCACTTGACTTCCACTGTCCTTTTCGGTGTCAGACTCGCCATCTTCCTCTAAAGTTAGTTCAAATTGGAACTTCTCGGTTTGACCCTGCCGGCCTTCCTCCTGGTCATCAGGTGCTGGGGAGGGGCTCTGAGGAATTGTGCTCTGGTACCATTCACGATTGTCCTCCAAAGTGTCCAGAATGTCCTGGGCATCAGGATGCACGAGGTCGGCCCATGTCTCCCAGAGAGGATGAACAATATAGTCTATGAAGCCCACCTAGTTAAAAAAAATTCCGGTATGAGCATAAGACTTGGGACTAAGAAACAATGGAAAAGGTGAACTAGATCCCACAAATACCTGATTATGTATCTAATGATATCAATTTATATACATATATATATAGTTTACATTAAAATATAAAATATATAACATGGCTCACAAACATAACACTGAACAGAAGACTTCTAGCCTGAGTGTGGTAAAATAGTCACTACTTCAGGCAATAGTACATATAAAAGTGTTGTTACTAACTTGTGAAAATTAGCAAGAACTCTTAGTTCAAGAGTATGTTTATGATGTAAACAATTTCCATTTGTTTACAGAGTTGAGCTTAGGCATTAGACCTGGACTTTATTTTAGAATGGCCAATTTATAGGTGAATCTAGATAACTGAAGTCGGACCAGATACTCTATATGGCTTCATATAACTGAATTCACTTATGAGTTCAGATAGACAAATTCTCTCTCTATATATATACTAGATGAATACAGCCATAACGGATGGATATAATATCATGAGAAATGAATATATGTCCATATGAATAAAAATCATAAGAATGAGAGTTTTCTGGCCTGTCAAAAAGTAATTTTAAAGACTCAATGAAATACCATATGACATGCATAAAAAGTGATCAAATGTTCAGGCTGGAGTTGTGCTCTCTCTGCAAAACTTTATGCTTAATGCATCACCTGTGACTTTTCCACAGACGCATTGTGCTTGTCACACATGGGACTGATCTCCATGCCCCGCTCCCTCTCTCTGTCTCCTTGGCGGAAGAACTCCTCCATGATGCGGTCCGTCCACTGGCGGTACAGCTGGAGTGGCTTTGTGGGGTTGCTCAGGTCTGCACAGTGCACCATATTCTGAAGGACCTAGTAAAAGTGACAAACGCTTTATTCAGCACCTGCTTCTTCTTGCCCCCCCCCTTTTTTTTTACTAGAAACTCACAGTGGATGAATGTGACACTTAGAAATACATGTAGTTTAAGATTCCTTCCAAATAGCTCAACTATGATGTGTCTATGTATGGTTCACACTTGTATTAACAGCCCCCAACGATATCCCTTCCACCGTACCAAAATATCATAAGAAACTGTTTTTGTGTGCATGGCTGATTAAGTTCAGAGCTGCTTAAATGGTCGGTTTTGTGAGATATTAGTTTTTTTTTTAAACGAAAATTCAAATTAAAAAAAGCTAATAGTTTTATCTGGTTAATTCTCAAAATTAAGAATTTGGTTTAAAAAATTCTGCTTAAAATTACTAAAATTGTAAGATGCAAGAAAGGAAACAGAAATCTTATCAAAGTTAGACACGGACACATGTGCACACAAACAGAACAAATTCAAATGATGTTTTACCTGAATCCTATCAGAATAATTATCAAGAAGAAGAACTCCAGAACTTGTCACTTTCTTGGTTTCAACCATAGTTTTCAAATCAGCCAGTAGATTCATGTGTTTTGACATGTCTGTTGCAAGTACCTTAAAAGAGTATTTTCATAAGTAACAAAGTCCAGAGGATAAGTCAAAATTTGCATATGAAAACATTAATGCAGAACGTGAAGGAAATGGAAAAGCACTATGGCATCTAACAGCAGTGAGTGGGAATTCTGTACTACTACTCCTTTGGGCAGCCTCTTCTGTTTTGCTGAGGGTTTTCTGAAAGCCCAGATGAGAATGTGCAATATACAAAAGGTTAGCAGCAGCAACCACTTTCACAGTGAAAAACCACTTTTTCACAATGAAAAAGATGAGATCTGTGGATAAAAAATCAGCACATGTTCCAAAGTTTTTTCCATTCCTTGGACTAGAAAGTGGTACCTGGACTCTGACCAAGGAACTCAACACTGTTCACAGAATACTTCAGAACCTGGTGAGTCTTCTGCTGTTCCAAGACAGTAGAAAACTCCTTAACTCCTACCTTTGTAGGTACAAAGCTTAACGCAGTACGTTTCTGATAACCAGAGTTTTTCCTGTGTCTTGTAACCACTGTGAATACTGTGCATAAATACAAGTCATGGATGTCCATAAATAGTACCATCTACTGACATAAATTTATTTTCCATTTCACAAGTGGAAAAAAATCCATTTGAATTAACTGCTTTTGTTAGTCATTTTCCCTGCCTGCCACAAGACTGGAGAAATTTAGAAAACCAAACTAGAATGGTAAGGGCAAGCCATTCCTATTCTGAACTCTAAACTGCTGGAAGGAGCAAACCTAGTAGGGAACATCACTGCTGGCAGCACGGGTGGCTTCTTGAATATAAGCGGCAGTGTGATGTTTGGAAACACATGATTCTGTTTACCTAATACTCATCTCATTCTTACACTTTTAGAAAACCACTTGCATTACAACTCTCTTTTTTGTGTTTATCAGCTACTTACAATGTCAATGACCATCTTCCTTAATGATTGTCTTTGCTTTTTGGTCAAATTCTGGAAAATATCACAGTTTTCTTCCTGAAGCAACTTAAAGCCCACAGCCAAATGATGGTTCTCCAAGACAGAAGAATCATTGTACATCAAGGCAAGTTCAGAGTCTTGAAAGAAAGAAAGGAGAGAGACGATAAACAAAGCCATTTTTTTCTGAGTTTATCTTATTTTTCATATTCTGACATAGTTTGGGTTTAAGAAGCAATGTCCCCTCAACATCTCTGTTAGCTTTACCATTATATGACTCTGCCCCGGACAGAATACACTAGTTAATTTAACAGTGGAAAGGGCACTGGAATCTTAGGAATGAGTTCTAATGCCACTGATATGTGATAAGTCATTTCATTCTATCGATCTCCACTGTCATTTTTCTAAAGTGGAAGAGGAGTTGGGCCAAATGTTCTTGAACCTCCCCTCCAGATCTACCACAGGTGGCTCCACGGGCAGCAGAACACGACATCATTTTTAACAGCTGGAACATATCAACAGCATACATTGTCATGTTCCTGCTAACTGTGGACCACCTTCCCAACATTTCATAGAATGTAAGGATCATATGGTTTAGGATTATACTCAAGAACAGTCTGGAATAAATGAACAACACTAGATGTGTTCATGCTGCTCTTACTCATTTTTTCCCATAGCATAGCTTTGGAAGTCAAAGTTTTACTCATTTTTTCCATGTTCTTTTCTGAGTATCATGGTAGTCACTACATACAGATACACTGCCCTTCCCACCTGAATGCTCATGACTTCACAGAGACAGGTGGTCAGCTGCCTACATAACTCCGTGATGAAGATTTTGCTTCTCCCTTATGACTGCCCTGGACCTGTGTGTTTTAGGCAGTAAGATCCTGCTTCTTTCCTAGTTCCTATAAATAGTAGACAAGATTCCATAAGATGGTCATTAAAAACAATTTGTGATTTATTCTGTTTCCACTTAGGTCACTGTAAAGACCAAAAGCACATGTATTTGATCTTTTTTTCTGACTAATGCGTGGGAAATACATATATTCCTAAGAAAGAAATATCCAACGTTACTTAATGACTATTTTAAAGGAACCAGGAAGGAGAAGAGAGGTAGACATATTTCTTTTGTGAAGTCCTATGAATTTACCAGTACTATAGAAATAGGAGTTTACACATCTAAATTTTTGTTTCCAAACCACAGGAACTGAGATGTGTAGAGTACCAAGAAGTGGGTGTGTATAGTCTATTTTGGGGGGATAAAACAATAGTATTCATTCATTCATTCATTCATTCAGATAGTATCTGGTCAAGTCTGACTTTTAAATAGACTCTGAAAGCTTCAAACTGTAAACATTTATCTATAGATGATAAACATAAAAATTCATCTCTATAGGATCTTAACACATGGTATTATGGTTTCTACAGTAGATTCCTATTAAAAGATACAAACTGGAAGGAAAGCAAATGTTTTCTGACTGGACAAAATCAGGGTTTGTCCAGGGTTCTTGTAAGGGAATAAGTATGCATAGTGATAAGGGGCATTATTGCATGAACTGACTCAGGCTTGCAAAAACCTGGGCTAGTTTATATATCTCATGAAAAAAGAAGAAAGCAAATAAGGCTGTGGATCCTGCAGAAGAAAAAGGTGATGAGTTATTACTTTAAGGAGGAGGGTGATCTGTGGTATGGATTCTCTAACAATGAGTCTCAATTCTAATCAATGTAAAGATGCGCTTGCACACAGAGGGTGGTCCAAGAGTCCTGACTAAGCCTGCCGTGGAAAGCTGTTGGCTCCCGAGATTTACTAAGAATCCAGACTGGCCAGAAAGGTGATGAAAGATTGCTTATGAGTGGGTGTCACCGTTCCCTCCAGTTTTGGGGCTATTAACAAGAAGGTGGTGAAGACCACGAATTTTTAAATGAACACATGTTACCATTTAAGCAACTGAACCTTGGGGTAGTCATTTAAGTTTCTACTCTTCTTTAGGGCTGAAGGCACATAGACACATATAAAGGAGGTAAGACTCTGCATCTCCAGAGAAGTTTTTCTCCAAAGATGCTACCGCAGCATTCCTATATAGAATCCTTGAAGGTTCAGGAATTACCAGGAAGCTGCCTTCAAAGTTTGCACTAAGGTACAGGAAGGTAGGGTGGAGGGTGAGAAAATAGTTTATAGAACATTTCTGTTGAAACCTCTTTGTCCTCAAGGTCCAGTATAAGTAACCTCTTGCATGAAGCCCTTCCTGGTGACTACAGGCAGAACTGCTCACTTTCTGCTTAATACTTTGTATCACTGATTTGGCCTTGATCACATTCTACCTGACTTGTCATTATCTCTGTTCAAGTCTTTTTTTAAGATTTTATTTTTATTTATTTGAGAGAGAGAGCAAGCATGAGAGGGGAGAAGATCAGAGGGAGAAGTAGACTCCCCACAGAGCTGGAAGCCTGATGCAGGACTTGATCCCAGGACTCTGGGATCATGACTTGAGCCTAAGGCAGTCACTTAACCAACTGTCGCTTAACCCCTCTGTTCAAGTCTTAACAGTCTTAACAGTCTCTGCCAAAGACTGCCTAGAGACTTAAGACCCTGTATAAAACGAAAAGTTATTCATGTGATGTGCATGGTTGTCTGGTTTCCCTGGCACTTCTGAACAAAATATTTCTCCTTGAAATGGGGAAGGGAAGTGGTAGTTTTAAGATCTAGTTGCCAAGGACAAAGGATTAAAACTGGCTCAATTCATTAATGCCCTGTGCCTGTAACTTGCCTTATTTTTCTCCACTGGACTAGTCCCATCTGATATTCATGTGTTACAGTTGAGTCTCTTCCAGTGGAAGGCAAGCTCTTCAGAGACAAGCCATTATCTTGTTCACCCATATATTCCTAATGTCTAGAATGTTGTTTGGCACAGAGAAGGCTCTCAGTATTTTTTGTTGAATAAAATATCAATCTCTGTAGTATTTCTATATAATCACATTTGATAAAAATGAAGTTATCCTTATTTTGAAAGTGTTAGATTTATGCAGAAAAATAACATTCTATATATAATCCACAGATACAGCTATGGAAAACTTATTTTAAAATGAGACTAGAGGAATAAAACTGTGTATATTGGTAGCTAAATCCAGCTCCACTTTAATGTAGTGAAATGTCTCTACTCTTGGAAGTCAAAGCCGTATGCTTTGAACACATGACCAATGTGAGTAAATCTTTTCCCCTAAAATTTAGGCATCTTTTCGATAAACAAAAATTACTTGTTTTCCAAGTAAAATTTATTACTATATATATTCTGTACTTTTGACAGTGCTACATTGTTTCAGAAAATAATTCTGTGAAGTCAAATGCTTTTGTTATGATAAATACTCCCCAGCATGTTCCAACAAAACTTTATGACGCTATTTACATTTTATGGGTTTATTTACACCTACTATCTTTGAAAAAGACTGATACAGATTCCTACCCTGGAATTTCAACTTCTTAAAATCCTACTCAGATTTCCCCATTCCCCAAATCGCTTACAAAACTTAATCAATTCTGCCTGTAGCATTGATGCTCTGTTTTCAAAACCTCCATGAATTTACCATGAATGTACGTATCATTAGTATCAAATCATTTGGCACCTACAAGTGGAACAAATTATGGGAACTGTTGTTACAACTAAGAAGCAGAGGAGTACCAGGAATGGGAAGCAGCCTGGTGAGCTCCAGAGCCTTCCAACAGAGGATGTCATAGAACCTCACTGTGCCTCTGTAGCCTCCTTAAAATAGAACAAGCGACCTCTCAACTAGGGGTTTGTAAATGTGATGATTAGAAGTCTTTAGAATTCTCTATTATAAGAAACAGATTCAACCCTTGGCTTTGGACACGTTGGCAGCACCAGCTCCAAGGTAAGAGTTGAGAGTGTGCTAATCTGAACCATTGAGTCTCAATCAATCCATGAAAAAAACAGAAAACATACACTTAATGTCTGTCTATCTGTGTATCTGTAATATGTTATTATATAATTATTATCTGTGTATCTACATATAACGAATTTCCTGCAAACTAAAAATAATCACATAATTTTGATACGAGTATTTACAAAGCTATTTATTGCAAGTTTACAAGTTATGGGAGAGACTGCTTTATAGAATGCTGTGAAGTTCAAACTTACTTGTGTTACTGGTCATATTAAGCTCTTCTGTGTCCTGAAATAAAATGCTTGCTGGCATGATACCTAGTCAAAAGCTAACTAAGACAGTGATTTCTATACTGACTTGGGGCTCTGATCCACTCGGGGATACTTTCATGTACCAGGTGATGATGCTGATTCACTCTCTCAGGAATAACACAGCCTTTTCACACCCCGCCTGGGAGGAACTATTAGCAATCCAAAGCTGCTCTGGGAACTGTTAACCTCCCAGTGTTGCTGAGGTCTCAGAGAAAGGAGATCATCACACCATCACTGAATAACAAAGTACTTCCAGAAGCAGGATTAGTTACCCTTCCACCTCAGGCAGGTTCATCAGCAAAATGACCTTAAACAGACACCGCTGGCCATTGTCACTGTATTTATAATTGTCCCCTAAATTTGTTCATCTCACCTATCTGAGAGTCTCAAATTTTGGAGGGTATCAGATTCATCTGTGGACTGAGGCCTTGCTAGCTTAAATTTCATACTCCATGGGTCCCTTAATACCTGCCAAAGTTCTCCAGTACCAGACTAAGCTCATTTGACTTAGGGGGTCTACAGGAGAGAATAACAGAACAGGTTCTCATTTTTCTTTAAAAAATTATCAGATTACTTGGAAACTGACTTTATTATCAGTTGTTTTAGCTGATAATAATCTCTTCTTAATCTAACCTCTTTTTATTGATGTTACAATAAGAGAACAAAAATACTGTATAGAATAGAATGCAAAGATAACACACCAGTCTATGTTTTGCATGCCTTTTTTTAAAGGCTGACATTAGAACAAAATTTTTATGTGTTTGTAAAATTAGGAATGTATCAAGACATGCTTAAAAATCAAAATAATAAATCCAGTCAGGCTACGGAAAAGTGCCAGCACAGAGTACACTGTACCATATGACCTCTCTGCCCTTCTCACAAGGATAGTCAACCCTAAGCACTGATGCTTTAAACTCACATAGTTGCAGCCGATGTGTATAAATATTCAAGTGTTAATACTGAGTAATGCCTTGATGACTCTTGAAAGCACCCCATTATAGGTTCTCATAAGATAGCTGAACATGAGATGTTAGCCTCTCCAATCCTGGGTTAATAAGTTCATAAGCCAAACTTCTAAAATGTACTTGAGTATCCACACCTCTCAGGAAATCCATGACTTTCCCAATGCTCCTACATAGAAAATGAGTCACAGAGGTGCATTTTGTTATAGAGTAGTCCAAAGGCGATCGAGATATAAAAAATAGATGTAAATAATTTTAAAGATCTGAGTTAAATCTCTCAAAGTGAGGCTAATTTAAATTGCCTCTTTAAATCTGGCTACAGCAAAGTATAGGGAATAAAAGGGGAATGAAAAAACGCCACAGAGTTCAACATCTTTAGTCACGAGAAGGCTGCTATCCACAATGCCATAGCAAAAAAGGGAAGATTTTTAATAGATATAAGAATTTCTCTAACAACTTTGCTTTTTGTACATAAATGTGAATTTATAACATTAATCTACCACAGTAGGAAGAAATAAGATAATACTACATTTAAATCATTTACCAATTCACTTCAAATATTAAAAGAATAGAAATTTTGTAAAACTGAAACCTCTTTGCAAAGGCATAGCTCAAGCAAGCCTACCTAAACATTCCCTACAGAGGTTTTCCAGGAAGCTGTGTGTCAGAGATGCCCCATATTAAACAGTCTCTACCACTCCTCATATGTCCTAATTCAGTAATGCCTTTTTTTCTTTTCTTTTCTTTTCTTTTTTTTTAAAGATTTTATTTATTTGACAGAGAGAGAGAAAGAAAGAGAGGTCGAGATCACAAGTAGGCAGAGAGGCAGGCAGAGAGAGAGAGGGAAGCAGGCTTCCTGCTGAGCAGAGAGCCCTATGCGGGGCTCAATCCCAGGACCCTGAGATCATGACCCAAGCCGAAGGCAGAGGCTTAACCCATTGAGCCACCCAGGCACCCTGCCTTTTTTTCTTAAATAAAGATTCATTTATTTGAGAGGGAGAGAGCAGGCAAGCATGTGCATGAGCAGAGAGGTTGGGGGGTTTGGGAGGTGAGGGAGAAACAGATTCCTTGCTGAGCAGGGAGCCTGGGGATCGATTCTAAGACCCTGAGATCTTGACCTGAGCCGAAGGCAGATGCTTAACCAACTGAGCCACCCAGGCTTCCCAAGTGTTGACTTCTTATCTGATGAGATGTCATGGGTGAGAAAAAATTTAATGGTTAAAAATATTTAAATAAGGGGCGCCTGGGTGGCTCAGTGGGTTAAAGCCTCTGCCTTCGGCTCAGGTCATGATCCCAGGGTCCTGGGATCGAGCCCCACATCGGGCTCTCTGATCTGCAGGGAGCCTGCTTCCTCCTCTCTCTCTCTCTGCCTGCCTCTCTGCCTACTTGTGATCTCTGTCTGTCAAATAAATAAATAAAATCTTAAAAAAATATATTTAAATAAAAGAGAAGTCAAAAGAGATAATAAGTCAAAGAGATGTGATGTAAAAAGGAAAGAGCAGAGCTGGGCATGGTGGTGTATGAGGAAAGAGTAATCATAGCCTCTGAAGAGGATGAAATGACAACCTACATAGAGTGAGGAAGGTTTAACTTTTCCTGTTTTTATTTAAAACTTTAGGGACAATGTAACTATCTAAATCTTTCTGCGAACTTTCACTTCTGATTACCCTTTTCTACCAACACATTATTTCTAGAGAAGTACTGAAATGCATGTTTTTCAAACAACATAAGCCTCATAGGATAAAAACGGTAATTTTCAGAGCTAGGTTACATTAACACACACGATCAATAAAATGCACATTTACACATCCCAAAAGAACATTACAGCTCTGGAAACATCCCAAGTTTATAAACAAGCTCGGTCATTCTAAGACATAAAAGGAAAAATATTTTTTTCTGCAAAAATAAAGAAACTTCACTCACTTGTATTGATGAGAAACTGATTTGACACACCGGGATGATCTACATCATGTATTGCACTGGCAAAAATTGCTGCAAGAATCTCCAAATCTGTAAACACAGCCTGTAAAATCCGACAGATAGCATTATCATCCTGTAATAATACAATGAAAGGTATATACAAATTGCAAATTACTTCCTAGAACGTGTTGGAAAACAGAATGAAGGTTCAAAATATTTAATAGCTTATTTTAAAAGTATTTAAGATGTTTAAGGATGTCCTGAAAATGTACATAAAATTAATGACATGAGAAATTATTTTCTTTCATTCAAACCAGGGACTCTCTATCTCAGCAGAATTGACATTTGGGGCCAGATTATTCTTTGTTGTGGGAGGCTATCCTGTGCAGTGTAGTATCAGGACCCCCCTGGCCTGAAGCATGAGATGTCAGAAGCATCTATCTCCAACTTGAGACAGACAACAATGTCTCTACATATTATCAAATGTCCCTGGCAGGTGGGGGTCAGGGCAGGAGGAATAGGGAGGAACCACCCTCAGTAAAAAACCACTCACTCAGATGATGAAATATTAATGCAATTTTATGATGAAAACAATCTGAACTATAAAATATATTAGCAAAAGAGAATCTTTCCCCCAAATGATTAAGGAAATCAAATTATCTTAATAAACATTCACTGGAACTTCTTAAAATCTGAGAGAATTAAAGATGTGTTTCTTTCTGAAAAATTCCATGAAAAATATCAAAACATGTCTCTACTTTATAAATAATATCATCCTTTGAAATATAAATGTAGAAGGCATCAGGCTAAATTTAAAAGAAACTAACTAAAACTGAATAAGCTAGATATACTTTATGGAATGTCTACTAGGTCATTTTAAAGAAGCAGTATTGTGAACAGATGAATCCCCAAAACTTCGATCAATCTTTGAAAAATTCATCAAAGACTGAACTGTTTATTAATCACAACATTTTTTCCCTATAACTCAACATACTTCCAATGAAGCCATTAATTTTATCCCCTACCCACCCTCCAGTATAAAAATTTAAGAGATGTTTATGAGTGGCAGGTTAGTGGTCTCAAAGTTTTAGAAAACAGATTTACCTCCAAAGCAGGTGTAGATAATAGCACGTGTGTCGACTGGACGACATCTGCAGCATGAATATTATTGTGGTAGGCCACGTCAGCGTGGTAATGGTCTTCCAGAGTCATAAGGTATGTAATTAAAGTGTCCACTGGAATTTTAAATGTTTTTAATAAATCCCGTTCCTGTAGGAAAGGAAATCCTCTTAACATCTTGTTTTCACATAAAAACATTTTCCATAGATGTGTTAACAGAAAAATCACACCGGTGTCACCTATGGATAACCCGGAAATAAAAATAGCACCCCTTGTAGTGTCTAGCGAGGGAAATGGAGACATTTTGAGAATATCCAGGGGCTCTGGGGACAAAGCAAGGGTAGGGTTGTCCTTCTGGGGGCCCACGTTGCCCACGTCAAGAGGTACGGTGTCAGGAATGAGCTGCCAACTGTCAAAGTGTCTGTGTCTGATAATCATGAAGGCAACTTTAACCCAGTATCACTGATTTAGCTAATGGATCACAACAACCGAAACTCAACATTTTCTCTAGGGTTGGAACATGCTATGCCAGTCCCAGGGTGTCTACAGTCTCAAGTCCTCATTTATATCCTAATCCTGAGCTGGGGCAAAAGCTCAACAAGAAGGGGAAACTGGTATGGAAAAGAGAGCAGTACAAGAAACAGCAATTCAAGAAATTACATGCTAAGGTTAGTCACCAAGGGGCTTATTCATTTTTTAGTTCATACTCCACTCTATGCAAATCAGGATCGTGTAGATGATTTTTAAACTCTTGCTTTAATGAATTGCTTCAATTTCCCCACATGACTTCTTAGAGTGGAAAAAATAACAAAACTGTTTTACTTCTGTTTGACCCACACTCCATACTTTGTTACTATTTGTCCCTTGGTAAAGGGGCAAATAAGAAAAAAAAAAATCAAATAAACAAAAAAGGGTGAATAGTAAAGAAGAGAAGACTCAAGCAGATTTCACAGACTAGACATTATGTCACCCAATAAAGGAAAGGTGTTAGAACTTAACACGTTACCTGAAAAATAGTATGCATGATAACAGTCAAAGGCCGGTTACCAGACAGCTCTGCTATTCTGAAAACATGAAGACCCCATTTGTTCACATCTTCTAGTTCCTGGGGTTACAGAAAGATTGAGAAAATTAGGAAGCAGAAGAAGAATATAAATCAATAAACATATTCATTTAAATGTTACTGACCTTAACGTTTTAATAAAAAGAGTGTTAATAAAAACTCTTAATAAAAAGAGTGTTAGGTTTAAAAAAAAAAAAAAGATTCAGTTTAAATGTAACGTATGCACCTGGTAAGTACAGGCAAACTTTTAGGTAAACCCACTTAAAGGTACTGAAAACTGAATAGTATGTCTTAACCTTACGACTTTGACAATACAATGTAGTTAGATACTTTGACTATCAATTTCAAAGCATTTTTTCAATATATGAAATCTATTTACAAAACCTTTACTATTCTCCTGAAACCCAAAAGATATAAAATATTTCTAACTCTCTAAGGTCAAACAATCAAAAATGGAGATGTAAAAAAGCAACAAACACATACTCTAAACCACCTAAATCTACATATTAATAACCCTCAAATAATTTGTAAAGAGCTTTATAAAGTACTTTGCCACTTTCAAAGAAAAAGGACCCCACAAATTAATGAACTAGTCTACCTATTTAAAAGAGAAAGAATTAAAACTCATTAAAAGGCAACCCAACATGTTATGACCACAATCCTTAAAATCATCGTACCTTGGCAAGGACATCCTCTTGTTCAGTTTTAACCCCAAATCTCGGGATGCTTGAATTCGTCAAACTGGAGCTGTGCATCAACTTCTTGACCCCACTGATCTGAGACATTGGCCTTTTCTTTTTCTCCTTTTCCTTCTGAGTTGGAGAAGGAATTTCCACTTCATGTTGCTTATCTGAAGAAATTTAGAAAAGGTTCTACAGTTATTGTGAAGTCTACCTGAGTTGCTACTTTTTAATCATAATGTCTTTAAGTGGACAGGTTTTCATTAATCATGACATGTTCCAGAAAATGTTTCCAAGAAAGTTGAGTATTTATAATCTGATGTGGACTTACTGTGATACCCTCCAACACAAAACTGAGCAAATAAATCCCACTGCAAAATAATTAACATCAAATGTATTCAGTGGTTGCTAACTGGATGGAATGCTGTATACACACACACACACACACACACACACACACACATATATATTTTTTTTGCAAGACTTATGATAGCAGACTTGGAAAAAGCAAAACATACTGGTTATTTCCACTGTTCATCAACTCTGTCCCTGTTTGAAATTCACTTAGTGACTTGGAAACTGCTCTTTCCAACTAAGGATTCTAGTTTTAATACCTATTTTGAAGAGGAAGGAATTTCATACACACTATAAAAGCAGCACTGGGTGAACCTAATGGCTTATTGAAATGGGTCATAATGTAAGAATACAAACAGTATATTTGAATGACTTATATTTTGCTATTTTATATTTTCTATACTAAAGTGAGATAATGCTTATGATGTAACAAGTGGAACACAGGACATTTCCAGTATCATCTGATAAGGAACTGTCAGATTTAATTGTTGTTTTCAAATAAAAGACATTGGATGCCTCAATATTTTCATTAACTATTTCAAGGCAGTGAGCTCCTCTAACTCATCCTTGCATGTAGCATGTGTTCAATAAATGTCTCTTTAGTGAAAGTGCTAATTAGATATTATAGCAATTTTGTTTTGAAAGTAAATTCAAATCAAGGATGTGTTCACATTGATGACTTTCACTAAATGAATTTTCTCTTTGTGGAAGGGGGGTGGGGTGGTGTCTCAGTCCACTACACTATCAACTATTATTATCAGCAAGCTTTTCTTTAGTGGTTGTATTATATCTGCCTCATCAGTCTACCAGGCTTGGTGTTCATTAGACTATAACTCATTATGGCAGGGACCATTTCTAATTTATCATTACCAAATGCTCAGCAGTGTCTGGAATTTAACAAGAATTTGTTGAGTGCATGTGTAGATCTCTCTGTAAAACACATTTTATGGTTTAGTGCTTTGGAAAAACTGGGAACCTACAACTTTAATCCAGAGAATCACCAAAGTCCTGAATAAAATTAAAAGATAAAAAATGTACTTTGTCACCTTAGATTCCAAACCTTAGAGGCTTAGACACTCAAATTATTAATAGGATAAATGAAAACAAATGAACTGAATTCCTAACACTCGTTTGGTTTCCAAAATGATTTGTTGGTGTCCTAATCCACCTCCAAAAACAAACAACTCAAAAGAAAACTTTAGAATTGTATTTAAATTATTATTCTCACCTAAGAATGTGTTTGATATATACTCTGACACTTGATTTCCAGACCGACTCATTTCAGAGAGATGGGTGAGCTCCCGATTAAGCATCCTTTTAAACTGAAAAACAGAAAAATAAAATGAAGCAGCCTAAGAGGAACGTGTAATTGAGGTAACACGAGCATATTGCAAGATACAGAAAACATGCCCAAGAATTTTTAAATTGTCCTGACAGTTTAGATCAGTGAAATCCAATAGAACTTTCTATAATGTTGTAAAGTTCTAGAATTTGAGCTGTCCATTACTGTAGCCACTAGTCACATGTGGCTATCAAGCACTTGAAATGTAGCTAGGTGAAAATGAGGAGCTGAATTTTGAATTTTATTTCATTTAAATTTAAATAGCCACATGCAGCACAGATTTAGATACTCAAGGACATTAATTAAGGGGGGAGGAATAAAAAAAATCAGGTGTATCATTAGTATTTAGAGAAGGAAAAAAACTAATTTATTGGTACACATATGCGCTGCCACACAACAGAAGATGATTTATCAATTAATTTGTCATTTGCAGAAATTAATATGTATACTGGTTAGAGGTTAAAATGTTGTCTTTTACCCCAAAGCAAAAGTGAATAGATTTATTTGAGTATTCTTTCAGAACTTTAGAGAAGTAAAATATTTGGATACTATATACTTTTTCCTTTTAAAGTATTTTCAAGTAGAAGGAAAAAGATCTTTTGTTTCTCAATATCCGTGGGATTTACCAATCCATTTCTCTAAAGTTATATAAATACAAAACTGGTCAATTTTCAATACTCAACTTCATTACTTCACAATTTATTTTACTGATGCCATAGTACCTACTTTATCCTAAGAAACACTGGAATTAACTTATAACCGTTGCATAGCATTACCCAAATCCAAGATTTTCCAAGACTTTATGCTTTTCCATCTATCAGCTGTTTGTTATTATGTTTTCTTTTGATTCCCAAAATAGCCCAGATGGTCCTTTAAGTACGCCTTAATACTTCTCTTAACATACAGAAACAATAATTTTATCTATTACATAGATTACTATTAGGTATTTGATCAAAAAAGTCAAACACATTTTACTCTAATGTTCAGTAGCCTTTAGAATTTTATATTTCACCATAAATTCTCATTTAAGTCTTGGGAAAAGAGAGTAGTAAATTCACCATTTAATAATGTTTGAAATGTAATTCTAACTCAGTATTTAGTTTATTAGAATTTATGAAAAAATCTTGCTTCTCGGGATAATTTATGCCAAGGTGTCTTAACTCAAACCAATTTGGCAAATCACTTCCAAAGTCAGTCTTATTGACCATTTAGATTAGGTACAGCAATTTATCACAAAAGTACTGAGGGAGATCAATAAAAACATTCCAACAGACTGCAGGATGTAACAAATGTGTATTAGCCTTCTCCTGTAGCCAAAACTGAAGAACTGGCCATAACCAATATTAATTTTTCTGGATTGTTAATTTATAGGCCTAGGGAGCTTACTCTCGAACTCAGAAACATAAAGTTCATTTTTTTGTTCATGTATTTTTTTCAATAACATTTTTCTGATTATAAAGTACATGCAAGATAGAGAAAATCTAGAAAGCTATCTAGAAAAAATTAGAAATCATTTATATTGCCATTGCTCAGAGATAACCATAGATAATTACCTATATTTCCATCTATGTCTTTTTTCCTAACATTTATTTCCATATATTTTAAATTGGCATCATGCAGTGTACAAAACATAGGCCGCTGCCTGTTTTCACTCAGCATTATACATTATTATCTGCTGGGAAAAATCTGGGTCTCCTAAGAATATTCATGAAGACATTTATAATAGCGTTCAAAACATTTTTGGTCCATTTTTCATAAAGCTATATTGAGTTAAGTTATCAGCTAGTAACCAATTAAATGAGCTAACAGAAACTATCTTGTTTTTTACCTGGCACATGGCAGGTGCTTAACACTGAGTTCCTTCTACCTCCCAGTTCCCTGGGCCTTTTATAGTGATAGCTGATTTTTATCATTACAGGACAAACAGATGGAAGATCTGACTAGTTATGCCCACCAAAAAAATACACATATAAACATTTAGTTCTCCTACCCATTCCAGGAAGTAATTTAGGATATTATTCACACAGGAGATGATAACTAAGCTTCCCAAAATTATAACAAAAATACAATTAGCAAGGCCTGAAGGTACATAAATCCTTTCTCAACAAATGAAATTTACTCTTGGAAAAATCTACTCTTTAGGCAAACAAAATCAAAAGAGACTCTGCTAAACATTTAAAACATATAATGAGTGAAATATCTCTTTGACCTGAAATTGTCTGTGATAGGACTTAAAAGTTGCCAGTAAGAACTGCCTGGTTGTGAGTGCCTGGGTGGCTCAGTGGGTTAAGCCTCTGCCTTCGGCTCAGGTCATGATCTCGGGGTCCTGGGATCGAGTCCCACATCGGGCTCTCCGCTCAGCAGGGAGCCTGCTTCCTCCTCTCTCTCTGCCTGCCTCTCTGCCTGCTTGTGATCTCTGTCTGTCAAATAAATAAATAAAATCTTAAAAAAAAAAAAAAGAACTGCCTGGTCGTGACAAAGTATGTTTTGGAAAGGGGGGCATGCTAGGCGGGTCTCTCAGCCACTCCCAGGCCCTCTTCAGTCTATTCAGCCCTGCTGTCTAACTGCCCTCCATGCATTTCTCTCCGTGTAACGAAAAATGATGTAAGCCTGAGGGTAGGGGAGGATGCAGTTGGAAAAGTTAGATAGGGACCCAGTTTTCCCATAAAACTACCTTCTAACTTGGAAGCAACCTAGTATGAGGACTATGTTGCCATATGCCCAGCAGAAAAAATTACACGGTACCTGCAGATCCATAATACAAATTATTGGATTCTCTGGAATAATATAAATAATGAATTGTAATTTTCCTGGCAGTTTGTTTATATAATCCCTCATAACAGCCAGTCAATACAGATAACTAAGGGAAGAAACACCAGTGCAAGGAAATCTATTCTACAGACTGATAAATTATAGGTTGTACACGTACTGATTATATCTGCACATATACATCTATTCCCAGACTACCTTTATGCTGTTGTTCAAAACCCAGAAGTGTGGGGTGGAGAAACCCTTCAGTGCACACCTATATCCCTGCCAAGGTTTGTCAGGTGCTCTAGGGAAGGCAATATTTCCTTTTAACATGATTAAAAGAGACAGTATTTTTAGCAGTCCTCTTTCATCCCAAGGGAAAGGGTGTGGGAGATTTCTTAAAGACAATTTTCAGAGTCAATTCAGTTATAACATAGAGCATTTTCTAAAAGAAGTTAAAATTGCTTCCCTTTTTTTTTTTCTGTTGATTTAAAACTTTCAGGGAAGCTAAATTAATAACTTACAGTATGATTTTGGAGTGTAGAGCTGGCTGTACTAAAGAACAAGACATGAAACAGTTCAACAATCATTTTAAAATGTAACTGGAATTTCTCTTATTTAAGATAACTATATACCATTTATTAGGGTGACTGCACAAAAATATCATGAAAGGAAAATGATTAGAAAAGGTAATAAAATGTTTTTCCCAGAACATTGCTACAGTCCTCAATTTAGAGATTTAGAAGAGATACAACACAGAACTGATTTTCAAAAGGAAAAACAAAAAAACACCAAAAAAACTGGTTGCAAGTTGCAGAACAATTTAATTGAGCATTTAGATATTTTAAAAAGTGACCTCTAAATATTTTCTGTTGATGAGTTATTCTGATTGCTTTTAGTCTAAACAGTATGAAATAATAAACAGAATTACTGTTCCAAAAATGAAAAGAGGAAGATTTAAGTGAATGCTTTTTCAAATCCTTTGTTCTCATTATGCATGAGAATGTCTGCATGCAGCATGTAAAGCATAAACAAAAAATGAAAATACATTTGAAATCAATTCTATATTTTGCTTTTTAAACTCCCATTTTCCAATTTATGTTCTACACTTAAAACTGTTGAGGAAGAAAAATTAAATAATAAAATAAAATTAGAGTATTCTTAAATAATAATCCCTGTATGCATGCCAATGTCGTGGGTACATTTTATAGTCTCCTAGTATATAATTAAGAAGGTGGTAAAGCCAAACATTAAGAAAATGCTTATCCTGCCCCACCCCTGGCCCCGGCCAATATTCTGCTAAAAATCATTTGAATATGCTGTGCTGTGATATATTACAAGTTTGGTAGATATCAGCGTTAAAAGCTAAAACAAATACTGCATTGGCTGTATAAAATTAAATCTGTCAAAATGCATAAGACTAAATATATTTATATTTGCCCTTCTTACGTGTTTTTAGCAGCATACTATTAAAACATAAACAAGGCTGGCCAGCAACAATTTTCCTCAAAAATACAAGCTCTATAACTATTTAGATTCTTGGAAGTGTTGTTCATAATCATAATACAAATATGAAGCCCTTCAAAGCATATAAAAAAATGAGTTGTCTGAAAGCTAAGAGATGAATTCTAGGGAAATTATGGATTTTCCTTTATTACTTTTTATACTTTTCTGTTCTAAAAAATTTTTTAAGCCAAAAATGGCTAACAAAATTCAAATAATAGGAAGTCTGCATATCTCAAAACAATTAAAAAAATCTGGGCCATCCACTGACTTAAAAGGAAGTGGGGAATCATGACTCCTTGGACAACTAAAACTGAAATAAGTTTTTTTAGAATGTGAGAAAATTTCACAGCAAAAGGAAGATGTTCCTCTGAAAAGAAACAAAGAAAATGAAAAATATTTCAGTCTAAGAGTCCTTAAAGAAACAGAAAAGAATTCTTAAAAATTATGTATTTTGATTGGCTCAAGCAGAGATTTCAAGTTCTGAAGTGATGCTTCATTTAGGGCTGAAAAAGGTGTCTCTACTTCCTGCTTCTGTTACAGAGATCAGATCACCAGGCTAGCATTACCATGAGACATGCAAGAGGCTTGCCAAGCAGAGCAGAATCTTAGTAAATTCAGTGTATTATTTCATTTCCTGAGATTAACAAAAATAGCAGTATCAGATGAACTTATATATTTTTTCCAGCTTTACAAATAGATAATCAAGTTTTCATTTTAATAATA